GGAAAAACATGGATCTATCTGTCAGGGACTTCAATTGGTTGAATATTCATCCAATCGGACTCTTGCTTATATAGGAGTAACAAAGAAGAAACTCTCTTATTTTTGTTTGCAACGAACAACATGCATCACACAAGAAAATGAAGCCAGAAACCTTAATACAAGCATAAGAAGCCAGATGATTTTTGGAATTTTGGAACATATGAAGCTTAAATCTTAGCTTTTTATGGGCAACTGATCCAAACTTCCTTTTATCTGGGAATTTTGGTCACCTGTATAGGAGAGCAGAAGATTGGCTCTGTATCTGGGAGACTCTTGAATAATCCGGGGGAGTTGGTATATATGTATAAGAATGAAGTCACCTATGTGTAGATATTTCAGGTTTCTTTTATGATCCTAGAGAAACTTTTCCTTAGGATGACCAAACATTTACTAGTAACTGGAAGTGGTCAAGAGTTAGATGATCACTGGCCATGGGGCTGCTGTGACCTTTATTTTTTTGAGAAAGCAATACTAAGGCTAATTTTGAAGTGAAACAGAGAAAAGGCTAGTTATCAACCCCAGGCAAACTACCTTTCCCCTGCGTAAAGGCATGTTGGGAACATAGCACACAACTGTGAATATATATTCAGTTTAATAACTGTAAACTCTGGCTTTTGTCATTGTCCAGATAAAAAATCCACAGAGGCCGTGTCCAATTTAGCAAAAAGACGGAATGTTTACACTCCCTCGTCACTTCAAATACAGAACAGATCCACAGGATCATTTTCTTCACCTCATGGTCCTCAGACCCCCACATACCAAGGTCTGTTGATAGAAGAGTGTTGTTGTCAAACTTAGCATTATTTTTTTAAGATATTTCATTATTATATGGTTGTTTTTGGTTGTGATTCAGTTCCAAATGTGGCTCAAAATTTTAATTTGGATCTTTTGTTTTTGGATATGGCAATGTGCGATAATAATGATTATGTGAAAGATGTATATAATTGTGAATGTGTTTGCTCTTCTGTGAGCATTACAAAAAAATTGTTGTACTTAATGTTAACATTACAGATGATCTACCCCATGGCCGTCCTCCTCCGGAGCTTCCTCCAAGATCTCCAACCAGCAGTGAGGTGACACCCTCTCTTCCCCCTAATCAGCCTGATCTGTTGCGGCAGATTTCTGCTCAAGGAGCACCACAATCAACTAATGAAGGTAGAATTCTTTATCATATTATTTTGTATATCAATCATTCAGTAGTGCAATAGTATTGTTTTCGGAGGTTGTTTAAACTTTAGAAGTCTGGGAGATTACGTGGACTTCGTATAATTTAAATGACTTTCTCATTATGGTGACAAGGTTAGACAATTCTGTTTATAATTATGGAATGATTAAGAAAGTGGTAGATAAACTGAAAGATAGGACACAGAATTTTTTATTTTCTAAGGAATGCCACAACAGTTCTAAGGTCTTCTGTTCAAAATCAGAGAGTTGAACTGTGATTTTACACAAAATGGTAGTTGTTCTTGATAACTAAAGGATTTAGCATAACTAGGTATGATTAGAAAGAAAGATTTAAATTGGCTTGATCTATTTCATGACTTAATGTGGGTTACTCCCTTGAAAAATTTAAATTACTTTTAAATTCTTTGAGCTGAAGCTCTGAAACTCAGTGGCCCCTTCATCAAGACTTTTTCTTGAAATGGTAAAGATATTTTATCTTTATTATTATTATTTTCTTTCAGAAAACACAGTGTGGGTTACAGCTTCTATGGAAAATCACCCTCTTGCAAATTACCCATGGTTCCATGGAACCCTGCCAAGAATAGAGGCCTCTCATCTGGTGTCACAGGGAGGCCAGCAGTGGCATGGGATATTCCTAATAAGGCAAAGTGAGACAAGGAGAGGGGAATATGTGTTAACATTTAATTACCAAGGGAGAGCAAAGGTAAATATCCATTGTTTTGGTTGTTTCTTTGGGAAATGAAAGGTTTTAAGTTTCCAATGCATAAAAAGACTTGTTAAAATTGTGGCTTGGAAGGTGGATGCCTTTTGCTTTCATTGTTTTACAGGTCATGGGAAACCTGAAAGTCATAGAAGTGTAAATTGTATGAACCCTGTCTAGAGAAAACTGTCTCATATTAAGTGAAAAATTCAGCAATATTGGAGCACTTCCAAAATTTGCTGAAAAATTGAAGGGACTAATGTCTTTGCCTCTAGCCTTTCAGCTGTGTTCTGACTTATAGTTATCAATTTAAATTTGATTTTTTATGTAATTAATGGCTTATTTAGTCAATGCTCAATTTGAAATTATCCAAATTTCAGCATCTCAGACTTGCCTTGAACGTGGAGGGCCAATGTCGTGTCCAGCATCTCTGGTTTCAGAGCATTTTTGAAATGCTGGAGCACTTTCGAGCTAATCCAATTCCGCTAGAGAGTGGTGGACCTTCTGACGTAATGCTCACAAATTTTGTGGTTTACACAAGTTCTGGTTCACCCCAACCTGGAAGCTCCTTGCAGCGCACCCATGTAGGCCATGGAGGTGAAGGTGGTTTGCGCCGTTCTCACAGCCTTCATGTAAACAGGATAACTAGAGCAGCAACCATCCAAGGTGGCTCTGTTCGAATTGCATCAAATACGGCTAATGGCCAGGCGCATTCAAGGGCAGTTGAAAATCAGTATGCCTTTGTTTGAATTTGAAGGCTAAATTTCAAAAGTTGTATTCTCTTCTGTTAAATTTTTATATAAAATTAATGTTTACAGTATTTAAAGTGAGACTGATTTAAGTCTCACTGTGATCTAGACAGAAGTAACTACCATTCTGAAAGCCTCTACAGGTCATAAAATGGAGAAGTAACGTAGCCTGTTCCAGGCTTTCGCTTGGCAAAGGGAGTAATGATAACAACAATGCCACAAAATGAAGCAATGTCAGAGTATGTACATGTAGAATGCCTGGAACAGAGGTAAACCGGAACAGATTGTTCCCCAAGTAAATGGTCTGAATGCTCTTTTGCTCATTTCAAATGCTATCTTCATTCGCCAGATCCTGATAATTACCAAGCAGTCATGCCTAGAACAGTTATTGTCTTTTGTACTGTAAACAAAAAATATGAGGTTTTTTCTTGAATCCTTTCTAGCCTAATAAATTGTCATGCATTAGTTCCCTTTGTTTGGCTATGGTAACGTAAATCTTCAGTGAAGTGTGATCAGTAGCACTTGGCCCAACAATGTGATAATATTTTTGTATTTATTTATGCTTTGTAATTTGAATACGTAAGACAGAAAGCCTCATAGTGCAATTAGATTTGCTTTCTCTTTCTTAAGTTTGTGATTTTTAATATACATGCCAAACTTTCAGCATGCCCATTGGCTGAGAGTATGCCCCAAACAATGCATAAAGCTTAAATTGCATGCTGAAAGACGAAAGTAAGTGTAAATTATTAACAATTAATCAAATATTATCACTTGAAAAAAACAATTAATAGGGGCAGGTGTTTAAAAAAAACAATTTACAGTTTTGTATTTAGCTGCCAAGCCTTTGATTTGGAGTGAGGCTGAAGGTGACCTTGTTGTGATAGAAACCAGTATGTAGTGAACATGATAGCAAAGTAATTAACATTTGAAAGGCAGCAAGGTTTTAGTGTGTTGTAACAAGGTCACCCTTAGCCTCACTCCTGTTCAAAGGCTTGGCAACCAAGCACGCAACTGTAAAATGGACTATTGTACAATTCAACATGAACATGAAAACATTTGATTACCTAAGTATGCAATTGCCACTATGAGGTCTAAATAATGAAGTTTTTATTTTATATTATTTTATACCTAGTTACTTTAATTTGTATGGGAACTATTTTAAGATTCTATTAGAATTAGTCCATTTTACAGTTGTGTGCTTAGTTGCCAAGCCTTTCCACAGGAGTAAGGCTAAGGTTGACCTTGTTATGAGACAAACCTTGTTGCTTTTCAAATGCAAATTACTTTGTTAGCATGCTAACTAAATACTGGTCTCTATCACAACAAGGTCACCTTCAGCCTCACTC